CGTTCGCGTAATTCACCTCGAGAGTAGTTACCCTGAAACGCGTTAGTCATTATCGCCCAACGATTGGCGGGCAGGCGGCTGGACACGCGCCAAGTGCCCAGTGGCTCAGCTCCTCCTGCCCAGAAAGCCTAAGCGATACACACTTACATCATCTCGGCACTGAACTCCAGCTGCACTTTTCCTTTTCAACCAAGTTAATATCAAGATCAATATGTAAAGATCCTCTTTACATACATACATAAATCTTATATAGATAGATAGATAGATAGATAGATAGATAGATAGATAGATAGACAAATAGATAGATTGATAGATAGGCAGTGACTTCCGGTTGTAATTATTAGCATTGATCCTACATGTATGCTCAGGCTGTGAAACTTTCGAGTTATTTTAAATCGTCCAGACTAACCCCACCATCATCTGCGGTCGGTAGGCACGGTTAGTCATCCGGCGTCACAATAGCTGCTTAGTGACACTAGGCTTTTCTTATATACTTTAGCATTAAGAAAACCTTTAGAAGATTATGACCAGAAGTTCCCATTTTCTGTTGGATCTGTATTAGAAGTATGGAAATCTTTGAGGCTAACGTGCTGAATGAAAGCAATGAATGGCAAAATCAAAAGTAAACGGCTTGATTTGTTGATCATGAAGCAAATTTTACTTTTAGTATAAACTCTAATTTTCTTTACAAGCTTGTACCTTGTAAGGAATGCAGAAAATTAAGCAAACGACAGCAGTTCAGAAGAAAATATCGAACACATTGGTGACATTTTCCTGTTCTCTTTAAAATCCAAATTTATAGTCATTTTGATATTGAGACCATCAATAAATACACAGTAAGTACCCAGAAATAGAATAAGTAGCCTATCGAGAGCCAGTTAGAATTGGTAGGATGTCTGTCCCCGTGGTTAGTTGTAATAAGACATTAATTTCCTTTCACATAATTGGCAGCCTGAATGGTTAGTTAACTTGGCTATAACTCTATTAGCCTACTACGAAGCTGCTGCTTTGTGCTCTTTTTGTAAGAGTTGACTTCATCAATGTCTTTAAATCTGTGATATTTTTAAACGTTCGCTTTGACCCTGAATGGAGCAAATGCGTCTTGATGCTGAATAGTAGGCTCGTGTCCTTGATGTTTCTTGCGCAAGAATGTCGAAGCAACTGGCAATGCGCGTTTTCTCGTTCGTCCTACGTAATCACGGAACGTCCGCTCTCCGTGAAACAAATGTTAAGCTGACACATGGCCAATGCCTTTCTCTTACTGTTAGGATGTAGACCTCGTTCGCAGATACCTGAAAAGCATTCCCTTTTCGGAAAGAAAGTAATGCAATAGTAAAACGGAAATATACATGACAAACTTGGGTCTTAACTATGGAATCTCTTACTGCAAATTAAGTGATATTTATCTTTTTTAGAAATTTCCAACGGCTTAAGCGGAGAACAAGTTGATCCGATGCCATTTCTACTGTAGGCTGCATAGCCACAAGAAAATTGCCCAGAGTCTTAGATACAAAGTTATGATTCGTTACCAGCTTTCTTACAGGTAAATGCTTATCACATTCCACGCCCGGGCCGACTGAGAAAGCAGGGAAATAAGGGTGAACGCACACACTCTCCCACCCACGCACGCACGAGGCCCCCTACTCTCCTGAGGACTCCCGCCTCGCCATGATCCGCTACTCCCATCACGTTACAGACGTCGCGTTCGGCACCTTCGGCAGGCAGCTCCTACGGTGCGAACCCAGTGGTGCGGGCCGATTAGTCTCTGCCAGTACTGATTAGATCATATCCTCAACGAGCGTCTTTTAAGTCATATTTGACATCATATCAGGCACTCTATGAATTCCATATGAGTTTGTATTGATACTATAAGTTATCATAAGCAAAATGGAAGTTTCCTTCTCTTCAAAATTTATTTTTCACACCTGTCTGAATGTCTGTCTTTCTGCCCTTGAGTGTCCGTCCGCGTCTCTCGCTGTGTGCTGTCCTTTATTACGTCTGTCTGTTTCGTTACCTCCCTCTCTCTTCCCCTCTTTCTTATTTAAAATCTATGCATGCCTGCTGTCTTACATGCCTTGGTTTCCGCTTCGCTGGCAACCATACTCCTATAACGTTTTTTTTCCAAACATACCTTTGCTGCAATATTAACAAGCTTTGTCCTTTTCGAGGATAAGGAACAGAGTATGATAATAATTACTTTTGCTGCT